TGGCAATATTGATATACACAAACACGGTATACGTGGATAATGTTTCTTTTGATAAGCAGCAAATATCTCCTATTTAAAAACAGGGTTGCTATAGACTCATTCATTGCTATATGCCTGCATGTTGACTCTGCCTTATGGCAAATATATCACCGGGCTTCTTTGGCTGGATTCAGAGGATGCTTGCCATTTCCTTCCTCTGAGGCTCAGTGTGTGCCTTGGTCTCAAAATCACCCAGTGCATTTCTATGGCTGAATAGGCATTTACATCCTGTTTTCCCAGACTCCTAATCCAACACCCTGGGCATTACCCCATGCTAGTTCTCAAAGTGCAAACAGATAAATACAAAATTTGATCTTTTTATAATAGAAGTGAAGATGCTGTGGTCTTCTAATCCTATTTGCCAACAGTTCCCAGTATATACCACCATTAGGAGAGGGCTGCTGGGATTCGCGGTTCAACATCTGGAGTACTTCACCATTCCTACAAGCACTTTAATTTCTGAGCTTCTGAATTTTGCCTCTAACACATCACTGAAACTTCATCACTGATACTGCTTTTTCATGGAAAAAGTCTATAGCTCGCCAACTCTGAAGCCCAATGGCGTTCCAGTATTGAAGGCAGAATAACTACAGATACTTGATTTGATCAGTTTATACAAACAAATTCCACAGTAGCTCAGTGATTTAAACTGCTGAGCTGCTGAACTTGCTAACTGGAACGTTGGAGGTTCAAATCCATGGGATGGGGTGAGCTCCCAATGTTAGCCCCAGCTCCTGCCAAACCTAGCAGTTCAAAAACATGCAAAAATGTGAGAAGATCGATAGGTACCACCTCGATGGCAAGGTAAATGGCGCTGCATGCAGTCACACTGGTCACATGACATAGGAGGTGTCTACAGACAACGTAGGCTCTTCAGCTTAGAAATACCACTCACCAGAGCCAGAGATGAGCACCACCCTCAGAGCCGGAAGGGGAAGTCTTTACCTTTATCTGTGTATCTGTGGTTCATTGTTTCTCGGCATTGAATGTTTGCCTTGTGTCTATATGCTGGAATCTGCCCTGAGTCCCCTCAGGGAGATAGGGCAGAATACAAATAAATTATCATCATCATCATCAGCATCATCAGCATCATCATTCCTGATTTCAGGTATGGATTTACTGAATGTGCTATATCTATTAAGATCATCTTGGGTGCTTTATACCCCTTGTAAATAAAAGGTACAATGCTCATTAAGGAAAAGTTATAATATCTTCTCAGCAAGCCAGTTGGGTTTAACTGGTTTGAGAACTGGTCTGTGAAGACCAGAATTGGAATCCCTGCTCAGCCATGGAAACAACCAGGTAACCTTGAGCTAGGCACACTCTTCCAGCTCAGAGAAAATAAATGCACCTTCTCTATGAACCAATCTTGCTAAGAAAATTCCCATTATAGGATGACTTAAGGGTCTCTTTAAGTCAGAAACAACTTATTTATTTATTATTTATTTATTTACTGTATTTGTATACCGCCTTTCTCAGCCAATTGGCGACTCAAGACAGTTTCCAACAAATCAGTAGACATAAAACATAATATAGATAAAAAACATTGAACCGTATAAGACATCACAAAAGCAGTAAAAACAACATCATCAGCGTCTCATTATTCTCAAGCATTGTCCAGTTCCATTGTCAGGTCATTCGATTTCCTATATTAGCTTCTCTGTATTTGTAAACGCTTGCTCGAATAGCCACGTTTTAACTTGCCTCCGAAACGTCAAGAGGGAGGGAGGAGATCTGATCTCCCTAGGGAGGGCGTTCCATAGCCGAGGGGCCACCACTGAGAAGGCCCTGTCTCTCGTCCCCGCCAAACGTGCTTGTGACGAAGGCGGGACCGAGAGCAGCGCCTCCCCAGATGATCTTAAAGTCCTCAGTGGTTCGAATTTGAAGGCACACAACAGGCAGGAAGGGGTTTGGTGAAATCCTCACGATCTTTAGTCACATCTCTACAAAGTTTGATGCAGCTCTATCCCGCTAGGGTGCAGGCAAAGCTTTAATGACTTAAGCCCTGCCTTGATATTTTGCCAGGCCAGATTTTTTGACATGCTGAAATAGGTTGGAGTTGGAGGAAATAACAGTTTTCATACCAACACATACAAGGCCAATGTGGTTGACTGTAACTTCAAGTGCTATATTTCCTTGTTTTCTGTCTGATCTCTTTTGTCGTGAGATTGCAAGCAGGAACAGATTTTACTCTTGTACTTCAGAGGTGATTCTCTGCCGGAATCACCAGGATGATTGTCAGCCATCTTATTTATTTATTTATTTATTTATTTATTTATTTACAGCTTTTATATTCCTCCCTTCTCACCCCGCAGGTGACTCAGGGTGGATTACAGTGTACACATATATGGCAAACATTCAATGCCAATTTTTGACATACAAACATATACAGACATACACAGAGGCTATTTAACTTTTTTTCTGGCCGCCAGGGGAGCTGTCGCTTTCATCGTCCATCTGCGATGCTGATGAAGCACTTCCGCATTCCCCGCATGCTTCCCCGCTGGAATGCTTTGCTGGAGTCTTCTTTATGGCCTCATAAATCAGTTAATTTAGTCTCCCCACACTTTAAGGTGGTACCTAATTTTCCTACTTGACAGATGCAACTGTCTTTCGGGTTGCAAAGGTCAACAACAGGCTACACACAATTGGTTGGAAACCCACTCCAACCCGGGCTGGCTTCGAACTCATGACCTTCCCTTTGCTCACTCACAGAGTTGAACATACAGCTGTGGTTTGACTAAATGGTGATGCACCTGTTAGCCTTCATTGATACATCAGGGAATCCCAAATTGTCCTTGCTCCATCTAGAGGTGAACGGGGGATGTGTTACCAGCCACAAACAGGTTGAGTATCTCTTGTCCAAAATCCCTGAGACCAGAAGTGTTTGGGATTTGGGGGGGGGGGGGGGGGGGGTTGGAATACCTGCATTTGCATATATGTATATAATTAGATGTCTTGGAGATAGTACTCAATTTAATTCATATTTCATATCCATCATAAAAGTATAGATTGAAGATAATTTTATAAAATACTAGCCGTCCCCTGCCACGTGTTGCTGTGGGCCAGTCTGGTGATCTGGAAAATAAAGTAATATGAAAGTGTTGGTTTCTAATATATGTAATTTCTTTATGCTTGTGGGTAAACAGTATTTCTTGCTGTTTCTTTGTCGGTGTTGATGTGGTGATTATCTGGTTTGCCTACTCTGGCACATGCAACATATAATTGTCCTTCTTTAGGGGTCCCTTTCAAATCTATGATACTATGTGAGAGTGTGAATCATATATATCTATCTATATCTATGGCTGGATGACTCTTTGTCAGGAGGGCTTTAATTACGATTTCTTGACCTGGTGAAGGGAGTTGGACTGGATGGCCTTAAGTATTTTCTGTTGGTCATGGGGGTTCTGTGTGGGAAATCTGCCCCCATTCTGTGATTGGTGTGGTTCAGAATGCTCTGATTGCAGGTGAACTATAAATCCCAATAACTACAACTCCCAAATCTCAAGGTCTATTTCCCCCTAGCTCCATCTGTGTTCATATTTGGGCTTATGGAATATTCATGCCAAGTTTGGTCCAGACCCACCATCGTTTCAGTCCACAGTGCTCCCTGGATGTAGGTGAACTACAACTCCCAAACTCAAGGTCAATACTCACCAAACCCTTCTAGTGTTTTCTGTTGTTTATGGGAATCCCGTGTGCCACATTTGGTTCAGTTCCATCGTTGGTGGAGTTCAGAATGCTCTTTGATTGTAGGTGAACTATAAATCCCAGCAACTACAACTCCCAAATGACAAAATCAAAAAAATTTTGAGTGAAAGACATACATTGGGTTGTTAGGTGTATGCTGTCCAAATTTGGTGTCAATTCGTCCAGTGGTTTTTTGTGTTCTGTTAATCCCACAAACGAATATTACATTTTTATTTATATAGATTTTAGTAATTTTATGTATCAAAACAAATTTTAGGTACACTAAACCATCAGGAAACAAAGGTGTCACTATCTCAGCCACCCATGTGAATGATTCTGGAATATTTTGGATTTCCAGATAAGGGGTGCTTAACCCATTTTGCCAAATAGAATGGAAAACCTGATGGAGTACACCTTTGCAAGGCTGAAGTTGTTCCCCAAGATTACCTTCATTTTTCATACTTCTCTTCTTAGTTCACAACACAGAGTTGGGACGTTTCTAGCTTGGAGGTTGGGACGTTTCTAGCTTGGAGGTAATCAACCACTTGCGTTGCCTTTTTAGGTGTCTTCAGCATCAAAGAGCCAGCATGGTGTAGTGGTTTAAATGTTGGACTAGAGCAGTGGTTCTCAACCTGTGGGTCCCCAGGTGTTTTGGCCCACAACTCCCAGAAATCCCAGCCAGTTTACCAGCTGTTAGGATTTCTGGGAGTTGAAGGCCAAAAGATCTGGGGATCCACAGGTTGAGAACCACTGGACTAGAGGTACATCTATACTGTAGGCCAGGCACCCTCAAACTGTGACCCTCCAGCTGTTTGGGCCTCCAACTCCCAGAATTCCTGGCCAATGAACAGGCTGGCAAGGGCTTCTGGGAGTTGGAGACCAAATCAGGTGGAGGGCCATGGTTTGAGGATGCCTGCTATAGACTTTAGCAACCATGGCTCAGTGCTATGGAATAATGGGAGTTTTACAAGGTCTTTAGCCTTTACTGCCAAATAATGCTGGTACCTCACCAAACTACGGTTCCCAGGATTTCACAGCACTGAGTGATGGTAGTTACAGTGGTGTCAAACTCTACTCGGATACTAGAAAACCAGGGCTCAAATCCCCGCCTTGCCATGGAAACCTAATTGGTGATCTTGATCAAATTCTCAGCTTTAGAGGAAGGTAACTCTTCTTGGAACACACTCTGCCAAAAAAAACCTCTCCTAAGTCAAAAATGACTTGAAGACGCAGAAAACAATAGTGCTGAAATCTATATTTTCTTCTTCCAGGTGAGAATCATGGAGCAAGTCACTTCACTCCAGAGCCACTTCGCTTGCATAGCCAGGATCCACTACAAGAGGCCTCTGTTGGTAAAGCCCAGCTAGAGCAGCTATCCGTCAACAGCGATGCCAAAGAGGACCTTGATACGGTGTGTGACATGAAAAGCTTTTGCTTGGAGGCCACGTCTGCTTCTTCCACCCTGTCTGTGCTTTACTGCCATGCTACCATCCTGGTTTGAGAAGTTTTTGAAGTACAACTTATTGGCCATGCTAACTGGGGAATTCTGGAAGCCGTAGTCCAAAAAGTAACTTTTGAGAGCTGTTGTCCTGCAACAATTATACTGAGGCTTAAAAAACAGGGAAACCTCCACATTGCTCTTATCCATCTTCTTGTCAGGGTTTGGACTGGATGACCCACGAGGTCTCTTCCAACTCTATGAGTCTATTATTCTTCCTTTCCTCCCAGCCTTGATCATACTCCTATAATATAGTCTTTCAGAAAAAATATAATTCTTCTGGGATTGCACATCTTCAGAAAGCAAGACAAGAATCGTATTACTGGACACACATGAGATTTAAAGCATTCAAACTCACCCTCCTTGCCTCTAGAAAGTTAGCATGTCAGGGAAGCAAGCGGTAAGCATGTTCATAGAATCACAGAGTTGGAAGAGACCACATGGGCCACCTAGTCCTGAGGTCCTCAAATGAAGGCCCAGGGGCCGGATGCGGCCCTCCAAGGTCATTTACCCGGCTCTCGCTCAGGGTCAACCTAAATCTGAAACAACTTGAAAGCACACAGCAACAACAACAATCCTCACTGGGTTGTTGTAGGTTTTTTCGGGTTATGTGGCCATGTTCTAGAGGCATTCTCTCCTGACGTTTCGCCTACATCTATGGCGAAACTTCAAAAGATGCTTGTCATAGATGCAGGCGAAACGTAAGGAGAGAATGCCTCTAGAACAGGGGTCCTCAAACTAAGGCTCAAGGGCCGGATACGGCCCTCCAAGGTCATTTACCCGGCCCTCGCTCAGGGTCAACCTAAGTCTGAAACGACTTGAAAGCACACAAAAACAACAACAATCCTATCTCATCAGCCAAAAGCAGGCCCACACATCCCACTGAAATACTAATAAGTTTATATTTGTTAATTAATCTTCATTTTAATTATTGTATTATTTTTAAGTGTTTTTGCACCACAAATAAGATATGTGTAATGTGCATAAGAATTTATTTATTTATTTATTTATTACTGCGCTTGTATACCGCTGTTTCTCAGCCTAAATTGGCGACTCAACGCGGTTTACAACACAACAACAATCAACAATATTCCGTTTAAAAAGCATAAAAACACATACACAATACACAATATTATTGGGCCACCAATAACAATCCAATGCATCTCTTAACTAGAATCGCAATCCAATTTCATCGTCTGTGATTACCAATCCTTTGATCATCAAATTCATTGCACCGGATTAACCGAATGCTTGTTTGAACATCCATGTCTTCAATCTTTTTCGAAACACCATCAGCGAGGGGGCTGATCTTACCTCTATGGGGAGGGCATTCCAAAGCCGAGGGGCCACCACAGAAAAGGCCCTGTCTCTCGTTCCCGCCAGCCGCACCTGTGAAGCAGGCGGGATAGAGAGCAGGGCTCCCCAGAAGATCTTAGGGTCCTGGTGGGCTGATAGGCCGAGATACGTTCGGATAGATAAGTTGGGCCAGAACCGTTTAGGGCTTTAAAGGCCAACGCCAGCACTTTGAATTGAGCCCGGTAGCAATCGGCAGCCAGTGGAGCTGGTACAGCAGAGGAGTTGTATGCTCCCTGCGCCCCGCTCCTGTTAGTATCATGGCTGCCGCCCGTTGGACTAATTGGAGCTTCCGAGCCGTCTTCAAAGGCAACCCCACGTAGAGAGCGTTGCAGTAGTCAAGACGGGATGTAACCAGAGTGTGGACTACCGTGGCCAAGTCAGACTTCCCAAGGTACGGTCGCAGTTGGCGCACAAGTTTTAACTGTGCGAATGCTCCCCTGGTCACCACCGAAACCTGGGGTTCCAGGCTCAGCGATGAGTCCAGGATCACACCCAAACTGCGAACCTGCGTCTTCAGGGGGAGTGCGACCCCGTCTAACACAGGCTGTAACCCTATACCCTGTTCGGCCTTGCGACTGACCAGGAGTACCTCTGTCTTGTCTGGATTCAATTTCAATTTGTTTCGCCCCCATCCAGACCGTCACAGCGGCCAAGCACCGGTTCAGGACCTCGACAGCCTCCTTAGTAGCAGGTGGGAAGGAGTGACAGAGTTGGACATCATCTGCGTACAGATGACATCGCACTCCGAAACTCCGGATGATCTCGCCCAGCGGCTTCATGTAGATGTTAAACAACATGGGAGACAGTATTGAACCCTGAGGAACCCCACAAGACAAAGGTTGTGGGGTTGAACAGGAGTCTCCCAGTAACACCTTCTGAGACCGACCCTCGAGGAATGAGCGGAGCCACTGCAGAACAGTACCTCCAAGACCCATCCCCGCGAGGCGTCCCAGAAGGATACCGTGGTCGACGGTATCAAAGGCCGCTGAGAGGTCGAGCAGCACCAACAGGGACACACTCCCCCTGTCGAGCTCCCGACGCAGATCATCCACTAAGGCGACCAAGGCTGTCTCGGTACCATGCCCCGGCCTAAAGCCAGACTGTGCCGGATCCAGATAATCCGTGTCTACCAAGAATGCCTGGAGTTGTGAGGCCACCACACGTTCCATGACTTTGCCCAAAAAGGGGAGATTGGAAACAGGCCGATAGTTGACGAATTGAGTGGGGTCCAGTGATGGTTTTTCAACAGCGGTTTTATCACAGCTTACTTTAAGCTGGCTGGAATTTTGCCTTCCCGAAGGGAGGCATTAACCACCACCTTCACCCACTCGGCCAATCCCCCTCTGGCCTCCTTCAGAAGCCAGGATGGGCAGGGGTCTAGGATGCATGTGGTAGCTCTCATTCCTCCAAGCACCTTGTCCACATCCTCGGATTGAACCAATTGAAATGAATCCATCAAAACTGGACAAGCAGATGCTCGTGTTACATCCTCAGAGACTGCCGTTAATATGGTATCCAGTCCAGAGCGGATCAAAGCGACTTTGTCTGCAAAGAACTGAGCAAAAGCTTCACAGCGAGCTGCCGAGTCATCAGGGCACCCATCCTGAGTGGTGGGTTTTAACAGGCCTCTGACAACTCGGAACAGTTCAGCCGGACGGTTCTTTGCAGACGCAATAGTGGCCGCAAAGAAGGTCTTCTTAGCGGCTTTTATTGCCGCGGCATATGCCCTTAAAAAGGACACAAACCGTGTTCGATTTGGCTCGCTCGGATCCGAACGCCACACGCTCTCTAGTTCCCTCTTCTTTCGCTTCAACGCTGCCAGTTCCTCGGTAATTCATTATTTTTTTTTTTCAAATTATAATCCGGCCCTTCAGCAGTTTGAGGGAATGTGACCTGGCCCTCTGTTTAAAAAGTTTGAAGACCCCTGATCTAGTCCAACCCCCTGCCATACAAGAAAAGCACCCCTGACAGATGGCCATGCAGCCCCTGTTTAAAAGCCTTCAGGAAATAAGCCTCCACCACATTCCAAGGCAGAGAGTTCCCCTGTTGAACAGCTCTTATAGTCAGGAAGTTCTTCCTAAAGTTTAGGTAGATTCTCCTTTCCTGTAATTTGAACACATTGCTATGGCTCCTAGTCTCCATGGCAGCAGAAGAAAAACCTGCTCCTGCTTCCTTATGCAATCTTTTCAGATATTGAAACATAGAGATCATGTCTCCTCTCAACCTTCTGTTGTGCAGGCTAAACATGCCCAGCTCTTTAATATGCTCCTCATAGGGTGGCACAGTGGGTTAAACCACTGAGCTGCTGAACTTGCTGACCAAAAGGTTGGTGGTTTGAATCTGGGGGGCGGGGTGTGCTCCCCCTGTTAGGCCCAGCTTCTTCCTATCTAGCATTTCGAAAACATGCAAATGTGAGTTGGTGGGAAGGTAATGGCGCTCCTTGCAGTCATGCCAGCCACATGACCTTAGAGATGTCTATGGAAGTCGGCTCTTTGGCTTAGAAATGGAGATGAGCACCACCTCTAGTTGGACATGACTAGACTCAATATCAGGGGAAACCTTTACCTTTATGTAGGGATTATTCATGGTCTTCAGACCTTTGTTCATTTCATGCTAGTATTCATTTTATATAGTGCCTCTCACAAGAATATTTATTCCTTTAGTGAGCCCGGAAACCCACATTTTGAATGATTATGTAATTCAGATTGAATACATGTCTTCAGGAACTCTATATGTTTCACAAATGTCAGTGCTTAACTGTGACTTCTGTCTTACTTGTTTGAGCAGGCTCCTTGCCGAATGCATTTGGCTGCCATCTTACAGGAGCTGAAGGCCCCCCTTTACCTGAATGGTGAAGATATCTTCATTCCCAACTGTGACACCAAAGGCTTCTACAGGCGGAAACAGGTACAGACGGCAATGTTGTTCAGCAGCAAAATGGGACTTGCTCTTGGGCTTATAGGTGAACCCTAGCTGTGAAAGTAAAGACCAACCGTGGGCTGGTAGGAAGAGCAGATTCTTCAGCAATGTCTCAAGAGAATGAAAACAGGGTGGGTTGCCACAATCTACAACTCAGTGCAAGTGTGGAGATACATAGTGTTCTTCAAAGGGAAATGGATCTATAAGATTGTAATTGACACCAACACGGCTGGTTAAACACTCTCAGGTACATCACTAATACTGGTGTGCGGAGAACCTCCTGCTTAGGTTGCTGTGAGTTTTCCGGGCTGTATGGCCATGTTCCAGAAGCATTCTCTCCTGACGTTTCATCCACATCTATGGCAAGCATCCTCAGATAACCTGCTTCTCCTTTATCTCACCCGGGTTTTTAATTAGTTTTTAATTACCGTATATACTCGAGTATAAGCCGACCCGAATATAAGCCAATGCACCTAATTTTACCACAAAAAACTGAGAAAACGGGTTGAATTGAGTATAAGCCGAGGGTGGGAAATGCAACAGCTACTGGTAAATTGCAAAATAAAAATAGATACCAATTAAATTACATTAATTGAGGAATCAGTAGGTTATACATTTTTGAGTATTTACAAAAATGGTAATTTAAGATAAGACTGTCCAAATGTGATTAAATGATTATTTACCTTCTTCAATGTAAATGTGCTTACGTATCCTTTCAATAATAATAGAGTAACATAATAAATGTAATAACAATAATAATAAAAAGTAAAATAATGAATGTAGCAATAACAACAATTATACAGTAAAATAATAAATGTATAATAATAGATGTAATGATAATAAATAGAATAAAATAATAAATGAAATAATAATAACAACAACAACAGAGTAAAATAATAAATAATCTTGACTCAAATATTAGCCGAGGGGGACTTTTTCAGCCTAAAAAAAGGGCTGAAAAACTAGGCTTATACTCGAGTATATACAGTGGTCTTTTCTTTTCATCATTACATGTAGCCCACCCATTGTCACAGTGATTGTGTTTATTGTAATTTTATATTGCTACGGATTCACATGTTTTATATAATTATGATGTTGTTTATTGTCTGCGTTTTCGCTTTGCGCTTTCGGTTTTATTAGCTGTAATTTGTTGTTTGGGCATGGCCTCATGTAAGCCGCCCCAAGTCCCCATCGGGGAGATGGTGGTGGGGTATAAATAAAGATTATTATTATTATTATTATTATTATTATTATTATTATTATTATTATTATTATTATCATCAGAGGTTATGGGGTTTGTTGGAAACTAGGCAAATAAGGTTTATATATATGTGGAAAGTCCAAGACTTCTAAGGATGCTTGTCATAGATGCAGGCAAAACGTCAGGAGAGAATGCTTCTGAAACATGGCCATACAGCCCAGAAAACTCCCAGCAACCTAGTGATTTCCAGCTGTGAAAGCCTTCTAGAACACACCTCTTGCTCAATTTTTTTATCTGTCTTCAGCTTTCCTTTCAAAGCAGGAGGGGGAGTTTGGGGCCCTACAGATGATGCTGAACTACAAATCCCATCAGTCATGGGCAGCATAGACAAGAATATCTGAACAGTAAAAGGTTGACTGTCTCTGTTTTAAAGCCTTGGAGCTAGGGACTCTTGGCGACTGATAGTGAATTGAATTAACTGAATCTAAATCCAACATGGCATGTTTGTAAGATCACATAGTATTTGGCACACTGGCCTGGATGCTGTGTCTGAATCTCCTTTTGTGCATATGCTGAAGATCAAGAGTGGGAAAATCCAAACAGGCAGTTGTCAAATGACTCATTGAAAAATCCGATCTGGCAATTGTCTTGCTGAAGGAGGAAGCAAAGAGGCTCCTCCTGTTCCCATTCATGTGAGAATCAGAACAGTCATAGGAGCTCTTTTGGGGAGGTGGGCAAATCCAATAGACCACGTTGTTGAGAAAGGACATGGTCATCCTCTGTCTGACATCATCAGTTTCTCAACCAAACTTATTTAGCCGGGCAGTCAATTTAACTACCCCCTTTCCCTTTGAGGGCTGTGAAGAGTTCTGGTATAGCTATCCCCTCTTTTCATTGATTCATTTTTGGATGTTCAGCTGTTTTGACAAATCTACTTTATAGACGTATTCCACATTTTCAAGCCTTCATCTATATTTCAACCAGTGCTTCTGCTTTTCTGGCATGCTGGGAGCTTTCAACCAAGACCTAGCACCATCTAGCGTTTAGTCTTACTTTTGCACACAAAGAACAGGCTCCAAAACTGGTTATTTTTTTTCCAATTCTTAGCCATTCTTCAGTTTCCAAGCCAAATACTTCAATGTTTCCTTAATATTTTTTGATCTTAATATTCTTCATCTCCCTTCTTTTAACTGGAAGCAAAGCTTATTCCTGGGTTACTCTAATTAAAGTTTCCTAAAGTAATTAATGGCCCACTGTTCACGTGATACAAGGCCCTGCTTAGAACCCTGGCATTTTCAGCTATGTATGTATGTGTGTGTGTATGTGTGTGTGTGTGTGTGGGGGGGGGGGGTGGCACTATGTTAAATAGAGTTGTTATGAAAAGAAAGTGAGGAGAAATAGACSATACATTGAAAATTGAAYTGAATAAAGGAAAATCAGGATATAAAAATAATTTATAAAACAAATTATACAGGTTTTTGGAAAGCTGCTGTTTATTTCACAGTTGAAGAACAGGTTAAAGTTTTTATTGAGACATAATTTTTATATTTAGATATACATATGTGGTGGCACAGTGGGTTAAACCACTGAACTGCTGAACTTGCTGACCAAAAGGTTGGTGGTTTGAATCCGGGGAGTGGGGTAGGCTTCCGCTGTTAGGCCCAGCTTCTGCCAACCTAGCAGTTCAAAAACATTTTTAAATGTTTGTGTGTTAATGTCTATATGTGAGTTATATTAATTGTGTTGTTTATTTAGCTTATTGCTTGTTGTTTTTATTGATGTGTTGTTGGGCTTGGCCTCATGAAGGCCGCTCCGTGTCCCTTGGGGAGATGGTGGTGGGGTATAAATAAATAAATAATAATAATAATTATTATTATTACTATAAAACATACAAATGTGAGATCAATAAGAACTGCTTCTGCGGGAAGGTAACTTTGCTCCATGCAGCCATGCTGGCCACATGACCTTGGAGGCGTCTATGGACAACACTGGCTCTTCGGCTTAGAAATGGAGATGAGCACCATCACCCAGTGTTGGTCACAACTAGACTTAATGTCAAAGGGAAACCTTTACCTATTAGAGACTGCTTTCCACTGCACAATTCTAGAGACATTGCAATATGCCTCATTATAGCACCTGAGCACTGCTGGATCTGCAAGCATTCAGATTCCAGTGGAATCTTATCGGGAACTAGTGGTACAGTACCTACACAGATAGCAGAGATGTGACACAATGTTCCTTACACACTCCTATCAGCAAGAAACAAACACCAGGCTTGTCTGCTATTAGGAGAGATTGCATTCCTGAATTCCTGTTGTGGTCCTGCCTCATCCCAGTTAGGGGACACCACAATTTCCACAAAGCACAAGAGGAGGATTCAGCTGAGGAAAGGCAAATCTTTTACTCAGAAGATACATTTTCCAACAGAGGAGTAAATACCTTCTTGTGGCTTTAACATTTGAAATAGTGTTGAGGATAGGTGTCTCATAAAAAGCCTAGTATCTATTCCAATCAAGCAGTAGAGACGAGAAAATTTAAAATACAATAGATTTAATCTGCAGAGCAAAGCCATTGGGTGCCAAACGTGCCACATGGCTGAGATGTGTAGTTTAGTTTTATACTCAGAACTTTTTTTTAAAGCATACATGAAGTTCAGTCCTTTTCTTCCTTTTTGTTCTCTTCTCAGTTCTTGTGCCTGCTTCTATTCCTTCTCAATAGCTCACCCTCTCTCACCCCTTCCTACTGAACTCTCAGTTTTCCCTTCAAGGCCCTGTCTCATCCTTGCAGGTCATAAAGTCTTTTTGAACCTTTACACATACTTTCATCTCCCTCAATTCCCCAGCTAAGGCTCCTGTTGTGCTTTCTTTTGACTAGCACACTGGCAGAGTGAACTTTCTTTCCGACACCTTGTTTCCCCCTTCTCTTCTGTCTTAAATCATCTTTTTGCTGGTAATTCTTTATTTTTCTAGCTCTAGCTCAACACTAGTGTAGAACATTGGATTTTTGGGATCTTCTACATCAGTGGTTCCCAACCTGTGGTCCTCGGAACACCAGTGGTCTGCAAGAACTAAAATATGTTCCACGAACTCACCATTTGCAACGAGAGTGGCTGATTTTGCGAAGCCCTCTTATAGTATCAAGGCTTATTAAATACATCTAGGATATCTAGGATAGACTACTGCAAAACACTCTACGTGGGGTTGCTTTTGAAGACTGCTCGGAAGCTTTAAATAGTCCAACGAGAGGCTGCCAGGTTAATAACTGGGGCAGCATACAGGAAGCATACAACTCCCATGTTACGCCAACTCCACTGGCTGCCAGTTTGCTACTGGGCACAATTCAAAGTGCTGGCTTTGGCCTATAAAGCCCTAAACAGCCCCGGCCCAAATTACCTGTCCAAACGCATCTCACCCTATGTACCATTGCAGAGATTAAGATCCTCCGGGGAGGMCCTGCTTTCCGTCCCGCCATTGTCGCAGGCACGATTGGTGGGGATGAGAGACAGGGCCTTCTCGGTGATTGCTCCCCGGCTATGGAACTCCCTTCCTGGTGAGATTAGAAGGATRGTAAAAACTTGGCTGTGGGACCAAGCTTTTGGGACAGGGCAATAAAGCGGCAATAGGAAAGATGACCAGGCCAATTAGATTTGATRCAGATGACTAGGACGGTTTTAAATCGTGTATCTTAATATTTTGATAAATGTTTTTTTTTTAATGTTTGTGTATGTGTATGTGAATTTGTGTCCTGGCATTGAATGTTTGCCGTGTATATGCTGTGCTCCRCCCTGAGTYTCCTTCAGGGTGAGAAGGACGGAATATAAATGTTTCAAATAAATAATATGGTTTTCTGTGGGCGAGCAGATGGCGACTACTGGATGGCATATGTTCTGTATCAGAAACTAGAGCTGATGTGAWCTATCCGATGCAATTTTCTGAATCGGCATCCCAAATAACCAAACCAAATCTCAAGTTGACCAAAAACGGATTCGGAACCCTTTTGGTACTAATGTCGGAATGTGGTCGCAGGGGTCCCTGGTCAAAAAAAGGTTGGGAACCACTGTTCTACAGCACATAAAATCAGCTCACAGGATTTCTTCCCCTGCTTTCAATCAAAACCAAAATCAAATCAAAAGGGAAGAAGTCTATGAGACTTTTTTCCTGGTGGTCTTTGAATATTTTATGTTGGCTTTGCTACTGACGGGTGTGCAATTGACTGGTATTCTCACCTCTGCCATATCAACATCCTTTCTCTCTATAGTGCCTGGCATCCAGAGGGCAGAAGAGGGGCCAGTGCTGGTGTGTGGACAAGCGAGGCCGCCGGCTGGAGGGACAGGACGAAAACCCGCTTTGCCTGCTTGCCAACAGTGACTGAGTGGGGTGGCGGAGAAGACGCACCGCACTCTAGTGACAGGGACTCTCTGACCAAGAGTAATCTCTATACTAGAATGGTCACAGAAGTGTTTGTTTTTAACTTATTGTGTGGCTGATGCCTTGTTGGGCTCCTGCCTGCCCTAGTATAACCTTGGAGCAGTTATCCTGCCTGACAAACAGCCCACAAAAAAGGGAGAAGAGCCCTGAATGGCTGCACCACAGCAATAGCAGACAGGCGGCTTCATTCTGACTGCATGACTGAAGATGCTTTATTGTATAAGCTATTGGGTTGCACTGCAAAGATGCACTGGCTGGTGGGCAAGCTATTCTCTTTGGTAGACGTAGCATGTATTCCCAGTGCTAACCCTGCAGGCAAATAAGACAGCTAAATATTGGGAGCGGTGTATGTATAGTTCTCAAGGGAGCATTGCAGGTGATTTTATGAGGTGTGTGGTAAGGATAAGGTATAAGCTAATGCCAGCCTGGATGTATTTAAGCACCTTTCGTATTGAAGTAGTTGCAATTCAGAACTGAAAAGGCTAGATTGTGAAAAGAGACACTTTTAGAAATGGAGACCATGGTATACTCAAGAGGGCTAATATGGAGGGGAGGGAAATAAACCTATTGAAGTGCCTCTGTATTGCTGCCAAGACCCTACATACAGGAAAGTCTCCTGGTCTCTTCACCCTTCCTCTCAAGCAGCTTATGGGGAGAGCTACCTGGGTGGTGGGAATCACTGAAGGAAGGGCTTGGCTTGCCTTCTCCACAGAGGAGCAGCACATGAAGGATCTCTCTCTTCTCTGCAACGTGCTTTAATTTAACTTGTGTGTGTTGGAGGGGGTGCGTTTTGACTTTTGTATGTCTCACTGTTATTGGTTACAATACATTTGATGACTATAAGCCTTTGCTGTTGCTCTTGTCAAGATGGTAACTTATGAAGATCTCGGTGCAAGGAAACCAAAAGGAACAACAACAACAAAAATAACCGTGTCCAATACACCAAAGAAGCTATAATTGCCTTGGGCACTTAGAACTATATTCACAACTTCATTTTCTTTGGAAACTAAAGTCATTATAGTTTTGTCTGCAAGTAGCTAGACGACTGACTTCCATTATATTTAAACCATCAGCCTGTTTGTTGTTAGCACTATGTAACACAATTTTTTGTTCCTGGGTTATAAATGTCATTTCTTAATTGGTTCTATAACTGAAACATGGGAAATGTTTATTAAACTGCAACACATTTTGCTATATTTTTTAAAGAACGGAACATTTTTCAAATTTTGTTACATAGTGTTACCAGCATTCTGCTGTGTGTCTGGAAACTAACAACTGAGAGAGATGTATGGGAGCAAAGTGTGTTCTTGCAGCAGACAAAGTGGAAGAGGCCTGAAATGGATCCAGACAGAATTGTAGGTGCCTATTTCTCCCTCCGCACTCTGTGTAAACATGATACGTATGTTATCCATCTCCGGTGTGAGATCCAAAAGAAAAAAAAAAACACAAAGCACTGTCACTACAATATCATTGATTCTGCAATAGAGAAATATGTAACAGGAAGACAACCTTCAGCCTACAATGAGTGTGAATGCAAGAGCAGAAAGAACTACAGATCAAGGGCACCACTTAGTGCTGTGGAGATCTCATAGCAGTGCCCCTGAGATTTCGTCTCAATCTGTTGGTTAATTATACTAGAATGTCCTAGATCACCGCAATTAATTACATTCTATTATCCAGTCTAAAGGGAGCTGTGCCAGTGATGCTGTCCTTTTTAATGGGTGCCTTCAGATTTATGGTGTTCCTATCACAGGGTTTTATTGGCAACAGGGCCATCTAACACCTCCCAACAAAGGATACCCCCAGGCAGCAACCAGCCAGGCTTTGAAGCTGAAAGGCCATTAAATGCTAATCAAGATGGCTAGTTGCAACATTCACACCTGCCTCAAACAGACAAAAGTTCCTTCTCCCACCCTGGATATTCCACAGATATATAAACCTCACTTGTCTAGTTTCCAACAGACCTCACAACCTCTGAGGATGCCTGCCATAGATGTGGGCGAAAAGTCAGGAGAGAATGCTTCTGGAACACGGCCACACAGCCTGGAAAATCCACAGCAACCCAGTGATTCCAGCAATGAAAGCCTTCGACAACACTATTGAGAGAGGGTTTGCCTCCCTTTAAGGCTGACAGCGTGCGAGTTGTCCAAAGTCACCCAGTGGGTATCCATGGCTAAGCAAGGATGCAAACCCTGCGTCTCCAGAGTAGTCCAAAGCCCAGGCTACTACACCACACTTGCTCTCACCTCTCTACCAGTGATTCTACTTGCTTTCTACTCTATTGCCAGCAGAGAGAAGCCAACTCCTCTATTTTAAAATATTTGTAAAGTGCAGTACAAGAACAAATTAATATTGAACTCTATTAGAACTATAGTGCTGAGTTACTGAGGAGCAGTGAATAGGACTGTATTTGGCTCTAGTAATACTCTGAAAGTGAGAAGATGATGCAGGATGCAGAGGTCTACAGTCTGAGATCCCTTCCACACAGCTATATAAAATCCACACTGAACTGGATTATCTGACAGTTTAGACTCATATAATCCAGTTCAAAGCAGATATTATGGACCATCTGCCTTGATATATGGCAGTATAGACTCTGATAATCCAGTTCAAAACAGATCATATGAATTATCTGCTTTGACCATCTGAATTATATGGCAGTGTAGAAGGGGCCTGATTGGCAGTATCAACGAATCACTCTCCACTCTCCTAGGCCCCTTCTACACTGCCATATAAAATCCAGATTATCTGCGCTTGAACTGGATTATATGGTAGTGTAGACTCAGATAATCTAGCTCAAAGTAGTTAATGTGGATTATAAAGCAGTGTAGAAGGGTCCTGCAGCCGGAGACCAAGAAAGACCTTCCAATTATGAAGTGGTTTAATTTCTCAGGGGCATGTGTGGACAGGTCCTGAGAAACTTGAAATCCCCCTGCCCCAGATATTGAGTTTCCTTGATTCTCTCATCAAACATCCGGGTGTCACCTGGGTAACGTCCTTGCAGACGGTCAATTCTCTCACACCAGAAGCAACTTGCAGTTTCTCACGTTGCTCCTAACATGAAAAAATAATTACCCAGTTTATTTGGGCAGACCAAATTGAAATCACACGCTATGTTTAGAGAAACAGTTAAACATCTGATAGACCAGCTAAAAGCCACTGATTTCATCTCCAGCTGTTTGTCAAGTGCATGAGAACTGCACAATGTTTGCACATCATCACCTCTGATTACAATGTGTTTCAGCACACTCAGTTAAAATGTCTAATACAGCAGCTACTAAATGGCACATAATCAAGCAGCCACTTGCCTGGAAGAAAGGGCTCAAACTCTCAACCCTTTAAGGAAAAACTCCATGCCCAAGCCAGTAAGAAAATTAATATATGTAATACTAGAGGAAAAACCTCACAAGCAAACAGCGGAAAGGCAATTTTTGTGACAAAGCTGAGGCACATGCCTGATAACCCTGTATTAAAACCTGTAAAAAAGGAATTTATTTTTTCCCACCACCACCGCATCACATAGAAGTCCATTTCCTACCAAAAAGAGGCGATATTAAAAATCTCAAACTTTCACAATTTGAGTGAAAAAGCACTGAAGTTGTATCTCAATATATTTATTGTCATTTGTACATTTTTTTAAAAAATATTGACTTTATCTTCTATAACTAATTAAAATGAAAGAAACAAGTAAAACATAAACATTACAGCTGCAAGTAGTTTCATCACTGTTAGGAGATATTCTCAATGGCCACCACCATAAAAGCATCCATGGCTTCTATTCCTTATGAAGATACATTGCATAGATCAAGTAACCGGCCCTTTTCACAGAATGATCTGCAGCTAAACAGAGTCCTAGAATTCAGTGCTTCACGTTGGTTTCAAATGTTGGAAGAGACCAGTGACATTTTACATACGTAGTTTACATAAAGTGTGGAGCAAACCTGCTAATGACTGAAAATACTAACTTAGTAAAAAAAACATTCTAGGTCAGGGGCTTTGCTGTTAGATCAGACATCGGTGGTTCTTTTAATAGAAAACACAAAATAAAAGTGATTTGCTTTACTGCTGAACTCTAAAGTAACACAAAATAAAAGAAAATAAACCATTTGTAAGGTGGTGTTACAAAACCTCATTGCCTTTCTGTCAGTTTTGTAGCAATACCGCTAGAGCAGGCATGGGCAAACTTTGGCCCTCCAGGTGTTTTGGACTACTGGCTGTTAGGAATTTCGGGAGTTAAAATCCAAAACATCTGGAGGGTCAAAATTTGCCCACGCCTGCTCTAGAACAATGTATTCATATCTCAACAATATGCTGTGCGTTTCCTTTCCCTGCTCTTTGGATGCAGCTGGTGGGGAAGATTTGGGGGTCCTGGATAAGCAGTGCCACAAAGGAATACAGTAGACACATGTTCACACTGGGCTGTCATTTTCAGCAGCAGCTTTGTGTTTTTGGTAACACTTTTCATTCCGTTTGCAAAAAAATACATCCACAAGGCAGCATCCTCTGTATCATCAGCAGAGCACTATACATGGTCTATGCCAGTGGTTCTCAACCTGTGGTCCACAGATGTTTTTGGCCTACAACTCCCAGAAATCCCAGCCAGTTTACCAGCTGTCAGGATTTCTGGGAGCTGAAGGCCAAAAACATCTGGGGACCCCAGGTTGAGAACCACTGGTCTATGCTCTCCAGCGGTGTACTTCAGATGGATCATTCTGCAATGAGCGCATGCACTCTTCTTCCTGAAGTCCCCCATGGAAGGACCGGGAGAATGGGAAATCCTCAGCAACAGGTTTCTAGGGATATATGGGGCTGCTAGAGGAGGGGAGGCCACTGAGACCAAAGAAAGAGGTACCATCCAGCTTAAGTACTAAATTGGATTCTGGCCTCCAAGTCAAAGGTTTCACCAATTACGTGTGTAATCATTTTGCAAGGACATTCAAATGTCAAGTTAGAAAGGTGAAAACGAATCGCTAGAAAAGACAAGATTGTTGGTAGCTACATGTTTCCCCTCTTTTTATATTTTCTTTTATATTTAAGCAAGAAATTAAGGCACAACTCAGCGGTAAAATTCTTCTATACCGGAAGGACTTGTTTGTTGGGGCTTATGTTTTAATGGACTTCAGAATCCCACACAATTCATCCATTCTGTTACTATCTGATTCAGCCCATTTTAGGTAAAGAAGAGCAACTTTGAAAATGGGACAGCTTCACTGTATATCTCTCTATTGAGACCACATCTGAAAATGTGGAAGTAAAGATGTACTCTTTTTTTTCCTGATTTCAGCAGTTACCTCATGTAAAAGTGGCAGTGGGAGAATGCAATAGGCTTAGTCAAAACTGATTTTAAGACCTCTTTGCTCAACTCTACTATAAAATGCTGCTAGCAACAGAATAGACCCCTATGTAACTCACCTGAGCAGAGGTTTAGTAATGGGCAGCAGGCCAGCATTAAAATATCAGAGCTGCAAATAACACAAAATACAGGCAGGTCCTTGAAAGCAACAGACCACATGTTAAATCCCACTCAAAGACCAGTACCAGTCAATTGGTCTTGCCAGACATAAAACAGTGGTTTTTGAACAGCTATGATGTAAACATTTGTTGCACAACGTTTACTTCTGCCACATCTTCATTGATGTACTACTGTCTCATAAGGGGAAGTGCAGAAGTACAAGGGCAGGGATAAAAAGTGTATATGAAGTACACCTGTGTCCTGGCAGGCCTAGCACGTGACACATTTTGAATATGCAAGAAGGGTGCAAATAAAGGTGCAAATCAGAAACCCTGAGGGATTTATTTAGGAGGCCTACAAGTTGATGGAATTCCCTTTTCATGAGAAAACAAATAAATTGTGCAATGGCAGAAAGAGGCCTAGATACATGTCTGTTTCCAAAGATCTCATCATACTTCTTGAAGCTTCCATCTTCTGAGTTGAAACTGAGGGGCAACTCTAAAAAACCCAAAACTTACTTGCAAGCAAAAATAATAAAACATAAATCTTGACTGATCTGCACAGTGTGGGTCATTTCCTGATCAAAGTAGATCTGTGCAAAGAGGTCAAGCCTGATAGTTTAGACAAGTGTTACTCAATGAATCAGTGCAGGGGAATAGACTGGGCAAAAATGCCACACACCTGGCCTTAAGAGGACCGTGCTGTGCACTTCCAAGGAACAAAGGACAAATGCGAGTTACAATATTTCTGTCAAGCTGAACTGATATTAGACACAGGCCTTTTAAAAGCCCTTGATTTTACCAAGATACAAAGTTCGTCACTAGCAGACTTTCAGCAGATTCTCACAACCCACTTTAAACTCATTTCTCTGACCCTTATGCACAGCTTGCAGCCCAACCACCTGATTTGCAATTGCGCAGCACTCTGACATATCCCAATTGAAGTTCAATTCACATTGATTCACTGTCAGAGGCAGATGACCAGACTTTAATGGCACACACTACCACTGCCATGGTTCCCAGAGCGTCCCTTGATGCAGATACACTTTGTGATGGGCCTGCCATACAGAACAGGCTTTGCAAAGATGTGCTCCAGAGGACAGCAAAGCTGCAGGCCAACAAGGATACCAATCACTCTGCTGGTATGAATATTAGCCTTCCCTGTCTGGAAAACTCTGGTAGTTCGGGGGCCATGAGGCATCCAAGAAGTCCTCCTCGTCAAAGCTGTCATCTCTTTCCTCACCTTCCTCTTCAAACAGTTGGTTCTCTAGAAAGGATCCTCCCAGTCCATATTCCTGCTCATGGACCGAGATCTCATTGGGAATGACATGTGGAGAACCTTCTACAAAGTCAGCAAATCTAGAAGGAAGCCAGAAAAAAGGAGGGCACCATTACCTTTCCGCAAAAGTGGTACCTATTGATCTACTCACATTTACAGGTTTTCAAACTGCTAGGTTGGCAGAAGCTGGGCCTAACAGCAGGAGCTCAATCTACTCCCCTGATTCGAACCGCCAACTTTTTGTCAGCAATTTCAGTAGCTCAGCGGTTTAACCCACTGCGCCACCAGGGACCCTATTAAATATTTGTAAGAGGTTTCAAATTAGCTACAGGGCTACAAAAGCATTCTGCTATGGATGCATTTGGTACACAGAGAGGACAGAGAAAAACATCCGTTCTGAATCTCATTCTTATTTCCATCACAACCCCACAAAGATGAGCATCCTTTTCAAGGACAAGAAATATCCCACAGAGTATCCACCCACCCATTACCTCTTTGGAGACTTGATGCGGGAGACTGCTTTCCATGCAGAGAACTCAGGGCTGCTGCAGTACTCCCGCAACTCCTCCAGAGCTTTGCGTGTCTCTATTTCCCCCTGTATTCGATACTCTTCCTCCGTGAGCAGGCGCGGCGGGCTGGGCTTTGCTGTGGCTGTGAACACCTTCCTGCTAGAATAGCAAGGGCATTAGTGGCAGCTTCAAGCCTGAATCCACTGGAGTTTGGTTCCTTCCAACAACTTTTGAATAATGCTCATGATTCCCATTAATAACTTGTAGGTGGCATAGGCCCAGATGATGGGGTTCTCAGGAGACAGGGATTGGGTACAGACTGTCTCCCAAGGCTCCACACCATGTTTATGCAGTAAGACTAGACCTGGGGGAGAGAATCTGTCCTGCAATTCTTCCTAGATTTGAAGGTCTGGACTGAACTCTACTCACATTTGCTCAGCCTCATTTGATATAGTATATGCTCTATGAGCATATGAGTACACCTCGCAGTTCTGAATAAAATAGAGTTTCACATTAAAAAAGACTAGAAGCTGACATTTGTTTTCCCATCAGGATGAGAATCACATGGCTCTTTCCATGTTGGATTGAAACTTTAAGCAGCCCTCACCACGGGCCACCCTGACTGTTCTGGCTGCAGGAATTTGCAGCTTGCCAACACCCGAAGGACCATGGGATTCTCATTCCTCATTTATGCCTTGAGAACCTGTCAAAAATGCTAGGTTTATTGGATGGTCATGTGATCTAGCATAGTGGGAGTTGGCATTCCACACTCCAACCTGAACGCCAGGAAGGGTGAGGCTCTCTTAAATATAATAAAATTATCTCAAATCTTAATGCCAAAGGGCCATCTAAATATCAACATTTCAATGATTTCAACTTTGCCCCTATTCTACGCTCAAACAAATCCACAAACAGCTGAACCGCAATCTGTTCAGAAAAGAAGCCTCATGGAGGAAATATATAACTAAAGACCTAACCACCTAGTGCTTAAACAACTTTCTTCAATAAACACCTATTTCTTCTGAACTCTTATTGGATTGTGCCTTCTACATGAGTAATGCTTCAAATTCCCATCCATCACCTGTAGACGGCATAGGCCCAGATAACAGGGTACTCCAAGTTTTTAGTGCAGAATGCAATGACGATCAAGCCAATGGAGATCTGAGGTATCTGAATGCTCAAGTAGAGGAGCAGCAAGCCAAGGAGCTGCAGGCCCCAAGTGAGGAGGTTGATGCTGCGTTCATTCTCCAAAGGGCCATATTTGTAACACACAGCAAAGCTGATGCACCCCGCAATCACCAGGTAACCTGTGAGGAAGGGAAGAAAGCATGTGATACATACAAAGCAGAACTTCAAGAAATATTTCTACTTAAAAATACAAAAATAATTGAATTAAGTTTCACCCTAAAAGTGAGAAATCAGCATAAATATGCCAAGAGTAAGGTGCTGATCTTGAATATGAATACATTAAAAATGGCAAAAGATGAGAACACACAATCAAGTGCACAACACAGAATGTAACAAAAGGCAAAAGCCCAATACACTGGGAAGGTCTGGAACCAGAAAATTATTATTATTATTATTATTATTATTATTATTATTATTATTACGACACTGCTCTCCTGTACTCTGAAAGCATGTCATTTCTAAACATATGTTTCTGTTAAAAAAAACAGATGACAAACAATTACAATCAAGACTGTTTCAGCAAGCAATGACGACTGAACAGGCAGTCTTTAACAAGTCACTCTAAACACACATACAGTATGATATCTATTACCACAGTTGATGCCATGATCTCATTCATAATCCCCATTCCAGTACAGGCAGTTCCCAAGTTATGAACAAGATAGATTCTGTAAGTTTGTTCTCAAATTGAATTTAAGTAAGTCGGAACAGGTACATTTTTAAGTGTAGCTCCAGCCATGTGCATATGTGTGGATAGCATGCACATGCTTTGGATAGCATAGGGAAGGGTTAACACCACTGTATTGTTTGTTTTGCTGACCCCGTTCAGAAGATGTCACTTCACTTTCTGTCCCTGTGATAATTGGATTTTGAAAAAAAATATGGCTTGTTGTGGAAGCAAGGATTGGCAAGAAAGCTTCAGTGGAGATCCCTTTTCCCCAGGATAACTCTTTCAGGAGTGAATTTCCCTTCTGAAGGGTAAATTTTCTCTCCCTTCCTCTTGTCTCACCCCCCCCCCCCAATTATCTATGAGTCGTTTGTAAGTTGGATGTTTGTAACTTGGAGACTGCTTGCACTAAGGTGTAACAACCCAATTACCTATTAGTCCACGGAACCCATTTCAAGTGACTCCAATCTTGCCTACAAATAATTTCCTAACTATTGCCCTCTCCTTTCCAAGACAGTGATCAAGATAATCAGGCAGCTTGCTGAGCTATAATGAGTAGCTAATAGGAAGCCGCGGACAGGTATCAGAAGCTACACATTTAATAAAGTGTAGAAGTTGAAGGAAGATATCCTTTGTTTCCTAATTAGGCTTGCTTAGAAATATGCAAAACAGTTTGAAGCTTAGGCTTTGAAAATAGATCACAGAAGGCTGAGTTGTGCACTCACCCAGTAGATATTCCCAGTACGATCTGCAGATCTCTTGCAGGTTTCTGAAAACCAACTGGATGAGGTAAACGGAAAAAGACCAGCCTCCCACAAACATGAGGTAGATGGGACTTTTCTAGGGCACAAAAAATCCAAAAATATAGGTCAGTATTTATGACACAGCAGACAAATAAATTAGTACTAAAGCAGGTACAAATAACTGCTGGGCTACAGCCCAATGAATGTGCAGCGTGTATTAATTATTCATTGGGCTTCAGACAATTTGCCAAAGAGTCTGAAGAAATCTCCTGTTAGATGTTGAGATGAAACATTGTGATATTCTCACATCTGTGAACGAAAGGGACAATCTGCACTTAGACTATAGGTGGGCAACACATGGGTTGCAGGCCTCATCAGCTCTTTTCCAAACTCCTTTTGTCAGCTTCAGTGTTTCCCCCTCTAAATCTGGTATACAGTGTAACATTTCAGGCTACAGAAAATAAATGAGCAGTGGGCAAACCACAAACACTTATGAGGAAAGATTAAAATATCAATCAGATAAATAACTAAAATGCCCCAGGTCACCACTACAACCCCACTATATTCTATTACTGCATTGTGCTGGAATTCTGTCACAAGGAACAGTTGAATACTTTTCAAAACTCCAGATGCTTAAACATGTAAAATTTACAGGAAATAGATAACGCCTTTCCCTGCACAGATGACATTTTAATCTAATTTCAGTCTCTTATGTTAGGCCACTTTCAGTTTCCTTTGGGAGAGATAATGTGGGTATAAATATAATTATAATCATCATCATCATCATCTTGCTCAAAATTTAGCATAATCATGTCCTGATTTACTTGTCAGGAAGGCATTTTAGGAAACAGAACTCTTGGTAATGCAGCTTTTCATATACACTGCAAAATTAGCCTTTTCTGAGATTTCTTAAAGTATAAAATCACTAACATTTGAACAGAACTAGGAAAATGTTTTGTTATCAAATCCCTGAAATCCCCAGGACTGCTGGTTGAAAATCTGGAAGCTATAGTCCAAAATACTAATTTTCTCAAGGCATGAATATGAACTTCCACAGTCAGATTGGTATGACAGAAACACACAGAATTAACCAATTATTCCCACCCCTGTCAGGAAAATACTTCACTATATTTTAAACTTCAGTGAAATCATTTCAGGCTTTCTAACAATGTGTTCCCAAGTTTTAGCAAAAGGACATACTGATACTGTGCCAAGCAGTTTTATAATAGATAAGACCCTTGTACAATAAAGGTTCAATAAGAACTATCTCATTGTGGGGAATATGAGGCTATTTTTCTAGTTTCTGTGCACTCATGTTTCATCTTTCCTCTATGAGAATCCTCCATGTCCTGCCATCTAGGCTCAGTTACTATTATCAGAGTTAGCTATAACTTCCATCTTCCCAATGAGCTTTGCTGTGCATTTTCTCTTTTTTTGATCCAGTGTCTTTGAGAAAAAGTAGAAGGAATCCCAAGAGAATCCTGTTGCACCAATGTTCCTTCTGTCCACCACCAAGGAAATCAGTCTCCCAAAGGGAAAAGGAAGGCAGAAGAACACATACATATATTTGTTGCTATCTCTTGCCAGAACCCTTAAGGATCTTTTCAGAAAT